GCAAAGGACGAATCGCGACGTTCGTGCGGATGATCGGCTCGCCGACGACGATGCTCGGAGTAAATCGAAACCTACCGAGACCGAGTCAGGAATCTAGGTATAGGAGCCGGACAAGATTTCCGTGCGGGGTGCGACGATTGGATCTTCCTCCTATCGCTATTACTGCTGCTGGTTGACGTTGGCTCGGTTTCCTTTCTCTCTCACTCTCTCTCTTTCTGACACACTCGACGTACGCGTGTCCAGTCGACGTGCACAAGAGACACGGAGCGAGGCGACGACGCGGCGCGACTGACCGGTGACGACGGTGGACAGCGGCAATGACTCCGTCGTCGTGATGCCGTCGACGTGAGAGAAAATTGCCCGGCGACGTGGGGAAGCGCGCGTGAAATAGCACGGCAAATGGCGACTGGCCGCTCTGCTCTCCTCTGTCTCGCGACGCGACGGAAATATTGATTTTCGTTCGCCGGGGACACCACGTTCCGACTTACGTACCGTAGGTACCGGGTCCGCGGACGGCTTAAATATAACGCGCCGCGTCGGCCGGAATTCGTCGACGCGCCTCGTTCCCCCGATTAGCGCGCCGCCGACGCCGCCGCGATCTTGCGGCCGTCGATTGGCTCGCCGACAGAGGCGTGCGCCGCGACCGCGACTCAGATTGGTTCCACGCGTCTCCCTCTCCCACGCAAAATCGCCGATTCGTGCGCGATCGCGCATCGCGCACAGTGGCGTCGAAGCATGTGGCTATTGAAAGATTGACATTTTGTAGAAATAATTAAAAGAAAGAATCGGCTCTTACAATATACATATGAAAAAAATATACAGAACATATTATTCATCTTGATAAATATGCAAATTAAATTATATAAAAAAATAATTTGTTTTTAATTAATTCAAACGGAGAATATGGTATAAACCAGCTATAAATTATCATTTTCTAACTTATCAACGTCAAAAATTTTGAAAATAAAAAAAATCGGAGCAATACTTTTTGTTTTCAGGATATATTTTACGCATAAAATTACACAAATTTACAAAATTTGAAAATTGGAGGAAAAAATGTTATACTGCACTGCATTTATCTTTATCTTTTCATAAAAAAATTGACCGCATAAAAATTTGATAATTTGCGATAGATATTTGGGCACGATTCGAAACAAGCTATTTATTACCGACAGAGTTATTTAAAAAAAAAAAATAGACGCAAATAATTCCAAAAGTGAATACACGATGGCATATATACAACCTAGTAATTATATCGATGGTCGATAAAAAGTAAATTCTATTGTTGGTATCGATGCCAGAGTCGAGGAAGGTTGCGGACAAATTTCTATAAATGTAAAAGTAGGCCGGTGACAGGCGTTGGTAAGAGGCAAAGAGATACTCAGTACGATACTTACGTATCCGAATATCATTTAACAGCAGGTGTTTGCTGTTAAAGAGAAATTACGGCTGAATATGCCATATAACGAAGAATACATTAAAGATAAAGTGACCACGGAATTGAAAGCTTCACACGTGGTACGTAGACGATTTTTTTCTCCCCTTTCATTTCATTTTGTTTTATATTTAGTTGTGAAATAAAAGTGCACGATGACTTGCCATTTTGTTAGGAACTCCTGTCGAAATATTTGCTGATTAGTTTCGATCCGAGGATAGCTATTTGGAACGCTAAACAAGACTACTTGTATAAGGGAGAATGCAGGGAAAATTGCAGCTCGCTTTGATCACCTCCTTTGCCATTCTCTTGAGATGCTGCGTGACTTACCATTCTCACAGCGGCGAGGGCAAACCTCCTATGTATGGAGATTACGAGGCCCAGCGACACTGGCAGGAGATCACCCTGAACTTGCCTTCTGACGAATGGTACATCAATACCACAGATAATAATCTGCAGTATTGGGGCTTAGATTATCCACCTCTAACGGCATACCACAGCCTTCTATTAGGTCACATTGCCAACAGGATAGATCCTTCCTTTGTAAAACTATGGGAATCCCGGGGACTCGAGAGTGCAGCACATAAACATTTCATGAGACTGACAGTCTTGATTGCAGACATTCTGATTTACTTACCAGCGATTATATACTTTATTATCAATTCACGTTCATGGGGTAGTTATCAGTTCGAAAAATCCAATATATTTAACTTTACAAAGAGAGATGTTACTGTTTTGATAGCATTGATCTATCCTGGATTGATATTAGTAGATCATGGACATTTTCAGTATAATTGTGTATCACTCGGTTTCTTCGTTGCCGCTGTATCTGCTATAGTGCAAGATTCGTTCGTCCTTAGTTCAGCTTTATTTGTCCTAGCATTGAATTACAAACAGATGGAACTATACCATGCCTTGCCATTTTTCTTCTACATACTGGGACGTCACAGACCCAGCAAGACTAATTCCTGGTCTCATTGTATTCGCACACTAACATGTGTCTCTTTGACGGTATTACTAATGTTTTATGTAATCTGGATGCCATTTCTCAAGAGCAGAGATCTACTTTACAACACGGTATTTCGATTATTCCCATTTTCCAGAGGTATATTCGAGGACAAAGTCGCCAATATCTGGTGTGCGATCAACGTCATCTGTAAATTACGGCAGATTTTTACAAACGTGCAATTGACTAGGATCTGTCTGATGATGACAACATGCGCGATTCTTCCGAGTTGTGTCAGTTTATTCTTATCACCTACGAAAAATACATTTATACTGTCGCTAATAAACTCTGCCCTGGCGTTCTTTCTTTTTTCGTTTCAGGTTCACGAGAAGTCCATTCTCTTGATCGCAGTTCCGGTCTTATTGCACTTTCACGATGATCCCCTTCCTTGCTTCTGGTTCTTGATCATCTCACATTTTAGTATGCTGCCATTATTCATAAAAGACGAGCTGAATCTCGCTTACTTTGGCACTATGATTCTTTATTTTTGTGCTGTTTTTTGGATGTATCCCGATCTATTTTATAATGATAGAACAAGTGGTTCATTAAACAAATCAAAATCGAGAGGCAGAGTAAAACAACATAAGAAAAGCAATGGATCTCTTCTCTTGGATTTGTTAAATTACAATAAGAAGTCTTGGCTCCTCGTTATGTTCTATGTATCCATTTCAAGTGCATTGCTTCTCTCCATTGTTAGTCAATTTGTGAAACCTCCTGAAAGATATCCCGATCTGTTTCCACTTTTAATATCGGTATACTCATGCGGGCATTTCGTAATTTTTTTTATATATTTTAATTATGTTCAATTAGTATTCAGAGAAGAGAGCATTGCAAGTAAAGTCAAGTCACATTAAACTAGTCTAGCTAGTTGAAAGAATGTGTAATTTGTTATAATTTGTTGTAAATAATAAATAAATTTGTTAAATAAATTTCTTAAAAAATTTAAAGTCAAATCAAATTTTATTATTGACCTTATTGTGCATTCTACATCTTCTGTCTGAAACTGTCAACAAGTAGAACAGGATTTCAGAGTCTCTCAAGCTTCTGCGAGCAGTCATCAAAATGTATGAATGCAGATGAAAAATTTGAATTTCATTTTAATTTATGACAGCCTTTACAGGACTTACAGATAATAAAAGATTAATATCAATTGAATATGAAAATTAATCAAGAGCGTACACATGTATGCATAATTATATTCATGATTCTGAACATGCGAATTGTATTCGATGTTAATATTTATCTTTAATCGCATATTTTTGAAAGTATTGCAGACCTTGATATATTTTTATAATAGCATTTTGATTTTAATTTAAAAAAATATTAAAATATTTTGTAAAATAATATATGTAAAGTAATGTAATAGATGATCCATAATTACGTATCTCATTTATATTATTTTTACAAAAAATAAAATTCTACACAATATGCCATATTTATATTTATATTTTTGTTAATATAACTTTTTAATATTGTCGAATAAATATCAAGTAAATCGAGAATTTAATAATGTTAGTCTAAAAAAATGGAAAAATCTCTGATTTTTTTTAAAGACCTGTATCATTGGTAACATATTTTACAGTACCCCATTATCAAACTAAATTTTATGAAAATATTTGGAGAGAAAAGATATGTATCTATGCAGTCTTGAACTTTGCTCTAAAATCCTAGTCTTTTCTACTTTGATTTACATCAACGTCAGAGAGCGACGATTTTAGTTTTATCACAGCAAGCTTCAGTTACAGAGCATTACTCCATAATTACTTTTCTCGTTATTGCAAATAGATAAAATATTCAAGTTACTCGTTTTGAATGCCATCAATTATTGGCTCAAATATTATAAAAGCATGTTTATATTTGGATGTGTATAGACGTGCGTCCTGATCGTGTGTCCGACACATTTCACAACATCCGTTGAATATTGATGATAGAAAAAGAAATTTTTTATCACGTGTTTGTCAAGCGCCTATTGGTAACTTTAGAAAAGTGTTTGCAGTACGTTGTGTGTTACAGGAGGTGGTAGATCAATCCGATGGTTGCGGTGCCAAATTTTCGGTGCTTGTCGTCTCCGATTTATTTCAAGGAAAACCTTTGCTCCTACGTCACAGGTAATAATTTTGAAATTATGCATAAATGTATATTTTAGTTTAGTCCTCTCATTAAGATATCAATAAAATTCATGGAATGAAGTTTCGAAAATTAAAAATTTATTATATCATTAATAATTCATGCAGACTTGTGTATGGAATTTTGGAAGAAGAATTAAAGACGATTCACGCCATTTCGTTGACGACATTAACGCCGGAGCAGTGGGAAAAAACGAAGAGCTAATTGTTGAAATTTGTTAAATTCCTTTGAAAAATCCATAACGTGCTGAAAAAATACAGCTAGTATTACTTGTAGTTTTATTTTATACAAATACGGTAAGTATTATCTGGATGACCTTTCTTATATAGATATCTCTTACATAAATTTCTTAGATAAATAATAGATAAATTATTTTTTCTAGAAACCTGAAAGTTCTGTGGTAAAAATTTGACCAAATTTGACCTTTTGTACATTTTATTATTTAACGTTATTTTCCGAATATAAATAATTTTCACTCATAAGAAAGATGGCCCAAATCAAAGTATCTGCACCGGGCAAAGTGATTTTATACGGAGAACATGCGGTGGTGTATGGAAAAACTGCTGTAGCGAGTAGCTTAAGTTTGCGTACGAATGCCGAATTGATCGAACTGCCTGAAAGCAACGAGAAGATCATTCAACTAGACTTCTCTAATGTTAACTTATCCATTAGTCTGCCTATACAACAAATTCTAGATTGTTTCTTTACTGCTAGTTTTAGCCATGTTAATTGTGATACCAAGATAAACGAATTGCTTCATTCTGTAAGTCAATTTGTCAACACGCTGGATCCTTTATTGCAAAGGGATACTCCTGATTATAAAAACCAAAAGACAAGTTTAGAAGCATTCTTCTTCTCGCTCGTTTATATTAGTCATATGGAACAAATAGATTTGACAAAAACTGCTTTTAAAGTGCATATATCCTCGAGTTTGGAACTTGGTGCTGGTTTGGGCAGTTCAGCAGCGTTTGCGGTAAGTCTCGCAGGATGCCTTCTACGTTGGGCGCAATTACAAAAGAACATTCAAAAAAATGCATTCGACAATGAGGACCTCGAAAAAATCTCGAATTATGCTAAAAACTGCGAGAGAGTCACGCACGAGACTCCGTCCGGGATTGATAATACTGTATGCACGTACGGCTCGATAATAAAATTCAGGGAAGACAAGAAGGAGAAATTAACTTTTATACCAGATGTAAACCTTTTGCTGGTTAATACGAAAATTATACGAGATACAAAAATTCAAGTGATGAAAGCAGCGAGATTGAAGAGTTTATATCCATTGATCATCCAGCCCATATTGGACAGCATGGATATTATAGCGGAAAAGGCTTGGAATATACTTAATGAAGCGAATAGTCCAGACCTTCCATCTACAAGTACAGGTAGTACTGCGGCAAATTGGTGCGATAAATTATCGGTAAGTTTCATTCTGTGAATATTATTTTGTTACATATTTTAGTATTGTTTAAGATTTACATATATTAATCCACTGAGACTTATAGTTATCTCTTGACGTTTACATATATACTTTTCAGATTTTAGTTCACATGAATCAAGGATTATTAAATGCATTAGACGTGTCACATCCGAAGTTAGAGATGATTTGTGCAACCGCATGGTTGAACGGATACGCGGGGAAGCTCACAGGTGCTGGTGGAGGTGGCTTTGCATACATTATGTTAAAACCGCATACTGAAATGGCAAACCTCGGGCCTTTAATAGATCAATTAGCAGAACAAGACTTCAATGTCAAGATGGCCAAAATAGGTGGTGACGGAGTAAAACTTGAATATTAATTTAAAATAAAAATTAAATGACGTCTTTGATAAAAGAAGAAAGTAAAATTTTTTATCTTTTGTACATTTAACAGGGATGACAGGGAATAAAGCATGTATTTGTTAAATACACGAATTATCACATTGCAAATGAAAAAAATAACAATAAAATATTCTTTCACGCTAATAACGTAACAATATTAAATATATCTATTATAATTTATTATTGTATTTGCGCGACACGCTGATTCGACCCGAGATGAGAGTATTTATTTTTATTTCTTTTGCACATTCAATTTTGAAGAATAAAATTGGTTCGTTACCTAAAAAAAGTTAATAAATAAACAAGATTCTGCTCTGAATCTCGTGTTATCCTCGAATCTCTAGCGATTCATCTTAGTCGAATTAAGTTTTTCGCAATGCAATATATAAAATAATGAAGACATTTATCTTCTACATGAAAATGATATCAAAATATTTCTATCTGATGTACGAAACGTTTTATGATATAATTATCAATGTCGAAATATATTTGCTGCACGGATAACATAAGTTATTATACATCGTGAGACAACAACACAAATTCAAAACAATGATTATTTTCTAAATAAAATAACATCTTTTTATAATATTCGTGACTAGTTTGCAATATCAAAATATATAAAGAAAGTAATTCGTTTACGTTAAAATTTTATTAATTAATCGTAGATTTTTATCTTCTAAAACTCTATCGATTTACCTAAAAAATTTTCAATGTAGCATAATACATCTTTCTCTACTATGAAAATATATTCGTTAGAGTCTAAGGAAGCTATGTTATATGATAAATGCACTTACACACAAATGTAAGTAGTAATTATAAATTATAAATTAATTTTCGGAATGCGATTAAGTCACTTTTACCGAGTAGTTAAGCTATTATTTTGTTGATGACGTAAATTGCCGTTTAATACAAGATGATCAATGTCGGAGGTACTATCGCCGCTTCCATCTTCTGTACTATGAGCTGCTTTAGATACAAGGTGCTTTTCTTCTGACTTTGCTTCGGCTATCCATTCGTTTATTTCATGCGTGTACATCTTCCTTTGTAAAACTTCCCGCGTTCGTGGCCGTGACCCGATGAAGAGAGTGCTTCCTCCAACGACTAAAGAGTTGCGCAAATTTTCCAAAGTTTGAAAATCTTCGATTATACATTGTAATTCATCCCATTTTAACTCCACCTCTTCGTGAAGCATCTTTTCCTCATCGTGTTTTGAAGTTGACTTTTTATATTGTATTCTAAATCGAAAAGCTTCCAGGAAACTGGATACCACGATAGTCAATACGATCATAGTCACCAGATAAAATATCATGAAATATATCCTCGTGTACATACCCGCGGTAAACGCGTATGCATTCATTTGTATGAACCAATTATTAACAACAGTTAATTCGAATAATGTAATGCCGCTCGCTATGAGATTGTCGAAAGTATTAAGATAGTAATATCCCAATGCTGTACTACCGTTGACTGAATATTCATAAAAATCTTCAACAGTCGTATTCTTGCAGCAATTGCGCATATCGTATCCGGCAAACAGTTCCATTCCTATGATCGCGAAAAAATAATACAAAACCAGCATGACAATCGCCGTTGAACACATCTGAGGAGACAAAATTACGAGGGTGCCGAAAACGTCTCGATAGCGTTTTTTGATCTTAAATAGTCTCAACGTTCTAAGAGGACGGAACAGAACGAGAAATGTAGTCGACGGGAATAAGATGAGAGCACACGCGGCGACGATAGTCATTATTGATGTTCCCAAGTCAAAAAGATTCCATCCAGAGCTCAGGTAACATCTGATACCAAGAGCTAATACTTTTGACAATGCCTCGGCCACGAAAACTGTAAATTTATTTGTATATTTTTCAATCGTAAAATCTTTCCTTTTGAAATAACTACTTTATTTTTAAATAATTTTCACTCACGTCCTCCGAACAGAAAAGTGTCCCAACATGCAGCGAATCCATGCGCCGATTCCTCGAGACTGTTACTCGGTTCGAGGATTCTTATTATCATAGCGATGCAATTACTGGTGATGATTATACCTATGAAATTATGAACGATGATATACAAGACTTTCTCGTGTATGCAATCATTTATACGTGTATGCGTCATTTACTTACACACCAACGTTTCGAAATACGACCATCTAATAACAGTATGAGCACCTATGCATAGAGTTTGCAAGGGCCACCATGCAGTGCGATACCATGGAATATTGGAGTATTGCAAATCCCATTGAAGCATCGTGGCATCGTAAATCGATAAGAATTCCTCGCAATTTAAGGCACCACTTCCCGATGTGTTCATATGACAAAACATTAAAACAATGTCGCGTATGGCTGTAAAAAGCATGTAGCATTATCGTTTTATACGTAAAAGTAATTTCTTTTATTTTTTAATTAACATATTGTCTGTGTATTTGACAGAATAATTACTAAAATTTTTCGAAGAAAAATGTGATTTTCTATACATACATTTATTTGGAGTATAATATCGCATTAAACCCTCGAACTGACGGAATCGCATCTTTTCGGGATCTTGCTTGGAAACCAAGAGCTTAAAAGCGTGCTGACAGGCTTTCCTTTTGTGCAGGAACAATTTCTTGAATTTGTCACGCTCGCGCGACGTAAACGTCTCGTTTACTACCGCCAGCATCAAGTTCATCATCACGTATAGCATGGTACACAAATAAGAGACAAAGTATATCGCGTACCACTTATTTTGAGAATATGACGGCATCATTACGTCCGGAAAACTACAAGATGCATTGTTAATGTTGAATAAAATATTTGTTAAATGTATTGTTAAATTATATCGGACTACACATACTTACTTAGCAGTGGTAAGAAGAACAAACAGACTGACGAAACTATCTTGCATAGTGGAAAAATTCCTGTTCATTTCACTGAACATGTAATAGCCTAATACAGTGTAGACAATAATCAAAAAGAAAAGAAGTCCCAGCATGTCCAGAATCGGTGGTAGCGTGAGAAGTATCTGTCTTATGAATCTCCTTACGCCGCCACAATATTTCGTATCTATTAGGAATATTGGTCTTAGGGCGCGCGTCACGCGGAAATGTGAGGATTGTCGCACCAGGATTGTCATAGCTTCGAGAAACATGATCGCCAGGGTGATGCACTGTAACAGAAATCGATACAAGTAGAAGTAGCCGAAAGAGGTCAACAACCCGGCGCGATGATCGACAGCCACGTGTTTTTCATAATCATTTCAAATAGCACGTCGTCCTCCATTCATTTGAATTTCATGAGGAATATTGCGACGCGTCTGACATTGCATTTAACTCATTATGTAAGTAAGTTAATAAGACATTATAGATTCGTTGCAGCACTCATTACTCATATCGGACAACGCGGCCGTTGATCGTTAATGAATACACGTCTGATACTCTTACACATTGCATAATAATTATCGGTCACAAGTGTATGGACGAGCAACTATTCGGATGATCTGATTATACTAATTATCTATTGTTTTTCTATCGACATGTGTTTTCAATAAACCATAATATCGTATTTTGCTTTTTCCGTTTGCATAAATATAATGTATATAAATATAATGTTTATATAGATATAACAGATATTCAAATTAGAAGGGGTATCTCACCTTTAGCATGGTACGTTTGTGTCTCAGCATAGGCGCCCAGCCAGTCCATCTCAGTTTCAAAGCTAATTCCACGCCGATGGTAATTAACGCGAGCAATTCTACCGTGCCGTGTACCCATACTGGTACCTATAGCAAAAACATATATGTAAAAGATATTGACAAAAGAAAATGATATACTAATTATTTATGGATACTTTGAATAGTGGTAGGGCAGGTTCCTCTACAAATGCCAGAGACAGCAGGATTAACGAAGTCAGTAAATCCAATCCATTGTACCAACTGTTGTGGACTAAGAGATACGCCGGTAAATCTTCAGGATGTCTCGGATGAGAATCAAATTTCTCATTGTTCCTACCTTCCTGAAAAAATGATTGTGATAATATAAGAAGATGATATAAGAATATAATTACATGTTCTTTTCAATAGTAAAAGTAAATCATTACAAATTAATATAATTTAAATTTTGTGCATTCATACGTGCATTCCTTACAATGTGAAAAATGATTAACTATACATCTCTATATGTTATATAACAGGATACAGTCTGTAGATAATATCGCATAGAACACAATGGATATCCTTGAAAAAAAGATAATTGGTTGCTGGAGATCTTCCTCTCGCACACACACATTTATATCTTTGTGTTCTATTGATTATTATTACTTTAGATAGACTTCCATAATACAGTTACCTCTAAAAATATTGCGGCTTCGTGATAATTCATTTCCCAGTGCAAGTCCACGTCAAGAACTGCGTTGCGCGCTGTGTTTTCAATCATGTTTCCAATCCCCGTTTCGCTTGCTTCGTACTTATGATTCAGCTGATTAGTGTTATTAGCATTGCCAAATGATGACCTTACATGATTCTCTGAAGTAGGTGAAGACAGAATGGAACCATATTCTGCAAGAAACAGAAATTATTTCTTATCTTGCTAAACACATATACAAACATTATACTTTTAAAATAATCATATCTCTAGAAATAAATATTGCAATCGATATACTTTCAAATCGTAATAAAGTACAATTTGATATATTTGCTGAGGCAGGAACACCGTTTCTGACAACAGCATGTTATCATTACAAAGAGTCACGAGTCTTCAACAGGAATCGTGACTCAATTCATCTGAGAGAGAAAGAGACTGGCATTCATAGATAAATATCCTTTCTATCACCGCGGTCCGCGAGGTCGTCGCAGCCATTTCGTAACGCAGACACATTAGCGGGAAATCTAGATGGGGATCTGGGACAGCGGGGAATACTGCGGACGGACTTACGTCGGCTCGAGCCGTTGGTGATCTCCTGGTCGAGTGGCAGGCTTGTCTCGTCATCGTGAAATCGCTGATAATCGGCGTCGTGCTCGTTGAGCCGCGACGAAGACATTAGGACGCGGACAAAGCGTCCCGCCCGCGAGTCGACCGGTTGACGCGCGACTGCACCGGTTGCACCGCGCCTGCACTTGCAACGTCGACGCGTCGGCAGCTTCCCCGGGTCGATCTCGGCGCTCGCTCTCACGCGCTGGCGTGCACCGTCGACGTGCACCATCCGGCGACTCCACCGCGACGCCGTCCGATTCGGACTGGGCGACGCGACTCGCATACGCGGGCGTATATAGGCGGATGCGTGACACGCTCCATGCTCCTGCTATCAAAGCGCATTTCTCTCAACGAGACATCCCTGTTATCAAGTGACAGACGCGCGCACGTGTCAGCACACGGTGTGAGAAGTGTCGCACTCTTGACAGGTCACGGACTATAATTATGTCACTGCTATCTAATGACGATTTATCGACGAGCCTCGAAGCGAATGAGAGATAATCGCGCGATGACAATTCTTCAATAAGGCAGATCTCTGTCTTCTGATACGCTGCGTTTGTCCGGCGTGATAAGGCAGACTTCCTTTCCAAATTGTAATTAAATGTAATTAAAATCCATGCAAAGGTAGATTAATCTCTTTCCCCCCCTGCAGAAGTAAAACGCGAATTTCAAAATGTATATAGAATCATGAATAGATGTCAATATGTTTGTGGTTTCGATTGTAAATAATTGTATCGTGAAAAATCGTACACAAAATGCTAGTCTCCGACAACAGGGTTCACTGTCCCTTGTCACGTAATGAAAGATATAAGAAAACTGCAACTTTTTTTTGTCTTCCGATAACGACGGATAAATTCTTCCTGCATTCCTTATGCACTTACGTCTAAGATTACGTGTGATTTGTGCGCTCAATCGGTTTTATAATTGTACACTCGGCTGACTTATCAGCCTCATTGATAAACACGCCAGGCAATTAGGGGAATCACGCCTTTATCGTAAAATAATAATATTAATCATCACTAATTATTCATATTCATTTACAATTTACAAAAATTATAAACATGGATAATTTTATACATAATTAACATGCCATCAGAATTTTAATTAACTTTGTGATTATTAAATAATTCTTTCTTTCAAATATTCTGATCACGTAACTTTTTCTCTAGGGTGAAAATGTGAAAAGTGAAAGTTTTCCATTCCATAGTAAAAATCACTTCACTTTTCACACGTTCATCCTAGGGAAAAAGTTATATGATCGGTTCCCTGACTCAAGTCGTTCTCAACACCTTTTCAAATTCTTTAAATACAGATAATTCTTTAGATATCACATTAGTCGTACCTGCATATGTTTAAACATAACTTCCATGATGGCTGTCAAACTAGCGAATGTACATTTTGTGCTACAAAATTAATGTAACTGATTTGTGCATATATACGTTTCTGCGTCGAATTTGAGAACTGCTTTCCACGTTGTATATATCGCAGTTGCAAATTACGATGTACGGTACCCATTCGTACTCGTCACGTGTGCATACTTCATCGATAAAGCAGTCCAAGAGTTACAACTGAATTATTGTTCTTATTGCTAGTTAATAAGTTTCACTTTTCTACCGAGCAATCTGGTCGAATATTCCTCGCTTATCACGACATTATCCGGCTCTTCATTCCGTCTGTTCAAGATGATATGCTCGAGGTGATGAATTTGTTTTCCTCCGAATTCACGTCACTCGTTTCTCGTTTAACTTGCCTCACATTGTCAACGCTAAACTGATTGATTATATAATGACCTCTTCGTCATACCTGCTTCTGAATTTCGTCTGTAAAATAGACATTGTTAGCGCAATTATCATTCGCGCAATTTTTTTATGTAAGAAAAATATTTTTACGTGCAATACGCGATGCACTAACGTGGTCGATTTATAGATGCAAAAAATGCGTACGAACGCGGATGACCCGACTCGATTTATGGAGTTTGAATATTCAGGGCGACGTCAGTCGTTTAGATTGCATCGACGGCAATCACTTTATAGCTGTAACATTAAATGATAAGATCATCGACATTAACGATACTTATTGCGATCGACTGGAGGATGGTTGGCGGGAAGTCCAAACAGATCGCGATAAGGTTCTCTTTTACACATTGAGCCAAATTGTTTATCCAGAGTTTGACACGCCAAGGCCAGAAAGGCTTGAAACGTTGTATGCTCTGGTGGACGAGCCCGATGTTGTAATGCTAAGATGGCAAGGAGGCAAAGCGATCGGATTTTATACCGTTAAACCTACAGGTAATTGCATGATGTTAGAAAAATTCAGGAGAAAAACATACATGTATAATGTTCTTAATGATTTGTCTAGGTACGGAAATATTTTCAACGAAAGAAAGATACATGATGCCTGTAGTAGATACGGCGTATATTCGTTCGGAATATAGGAACCAGGGTTTCGGGACGGGGATCCTATCCGACGTGATAACGCGCTTCCCGAACGAAGATATCGGCTTCTCGAAGCCGATATCCAGTGGAATGTTAAAAAGTGAGTATCTAATTTTGATGTGTTATACTTATAATAACACACGTGGATTTTTTTTTACGCAGTACTAAAAGCATTCCTGACGAGTCGCAAGGAGTACCGATTGCGTTTCTGGGAGATCGCGGACTGCGATATTGATGGATCTCAGCAACTGATATGGTGCAGTTTGAAAAGAGCAGCCTTATGACAAAAAGCAATTAGAATTTATTACAAAAATCGCATAACAGGATATTTATATATTTGCATCATACATCATACTTATTTGCATTTTTGTACATACATGTATAGAAATTAAACATGGAATATATATTATTTGAAAAAATTTACCTTCGCGTTACGAAGGAAGAAGTATTCAAATTGCCTCGCAAACGTATCTGTTATCTGTTATACTTAATTTCGTAAATAGCATACATACATTTGTTCTATTTTAAATTACTCTTAAATTCATTCAATAAAATCGATCCTATAACCATTTTTTCACAATTTACGCAAACTTCCAGCTGCCCAGCGTCAATAAATTTTATTGTCACCAACACCAATGATTTAGATGCTAAAGTATGAGCGGCAAACCTGTAAATATTCGCAATGGTTAACTTTTTCAATTGTCTCATGATAAAAAAACTGAAAACATATATCAATATTTAGAATTATATTTAAATTTACAATAAATGTATCTCTTACCGCATAACTTCATCCTCATCAGCTATTCTTGCGACGTTTGCAGTCTCGAACACTTTTTGAGGAAGAGTGTTTTTGTTCCCAGAATACGGTATTTTCGCTATATGCTCGTTCATACCTTTTAGTTTAGATTTTTCCGCGTTGAACATACTTTCAGGCAAGATCACAGCTCTTATTATCTCTCCGATTGGTGGTTTGATACTGACCGAACATGAATATTTCTCGTCGTTGATTGAAAAGTCGATGTTAAAATTAGCCGGTTGTGTGGAATCATTAAAATTAACGCCCAATGTCGAAGATAACGTGGCGTTTGCATCGAGCGATGATATTCGCGTAAAATCGTGAATAAACATACCTTTTTGAAAATTCTAAAAAAAAAATACAAAGGAAATATTTTATGACAATGATCATATTGATATAATAATCATGTTTCACAATAGTTGGAATATTTCTCACTTTGTTTCCTATTTGAATCTCCTTGATGACATCGTTGCTTTCGTTAGCGAATGTTAATTCGATATTAACCAAATTGGAGCTAACTAAATGCTGCGACCTCGTAAATCTATATTCAATTTTTAAACCATGTCCTATGATACTATTTAATAAAATAGTTTTTTTAATGGAACGTATGATGTCGATACTTCTCGAACATTATCTATAATTGCTGAATTAATTGGAGTAAGAAAACCACCCAAACTAGGTGTCATCACAGGAGTCATTGGAACAACTGCATAAAAAAAGAATATAATGAATGCATGAATATCAATCTTTCAAAGTCCATTTCTTATCAGATTTGTTAAACTAACCGTCATCCAGATCCAATAGCAGATCAAAGTTACTTTTTGGCTTCTCTTTCACTTCTTGCTCAACAACTTTCGATTTCTCTTCTTCACTTTCTTGAGACTCGCTCTCTTCTTCTTCTTCTTCTTCTTCCTCATCTTCAGAATCTGATTCTTCACTGCTCGAAGATTCACTTTCGGAATCATCGGATTTCGTTGCATTTTTCTTTCCGCTGCCTGTTTCAGATTTATCTGATTCGCTCGTATATTCGGAAGAATCGCTATCTTCGTCCGAAGACTCGCTGGACGAAGACTCGGACTGATTCTCTGATTCTGAAATTAAAAAATTTTTAATTCACAGTACATGTGCAAATTTAATTATTATTGAACAATACCTTCAGCAGGAGTGCTTTCTTCGTCACTATAAAACGGTTTTTCCTTTTCTTTCTTTTTCTTTTCCTTTTCCTTTCTATTATGGCGCTCTTCTCTCAGTTCTTGCGCGATAGGTGGTGCAACATCTCGCACAGATGGATCTTGCGTAACTTCTGGAAAAGGCGGTAAAGGCCGGTATCCCGCGCATGGCATGTCCAGATAGTGAGATAGAGTACCCAATTGATATTCCGAGTCTTTGAATCTGGAGGTTAAAGTTGGTGCTGGTTTCGGTGCAAGGAAAACTCTCTTTGCGAACTGCGGAAGCTTCTTTGCATCACCTTCTTCGAAAATAAAATGCCGTAGGAAACGCGCTCGGTCTCTAATGTCGTAATTCTGATCGTATTTGGCGAGTTGAAAGACATACTGGCAAAACGGTTTTGTTTGCGTGGGATTGTTCAAGCATAATTTCACGGCCAAATTCAAAGTTTGCAGTTTCACTATATCCTGTTCATTTACGAAACTTTTCGCCATTTTTCGAAGCACATCTGGCGCTATTTTAGGAACTCTGTCAGAATATTCGCCTAAGAGCCAGAGAATAGAAGCTCTGGCTTGTGGTACCGTAATAAAATCCATTAATTTTGCCATATGAGCGATTATGTCTTTGTGCTCATTCGGCTGCGTTTGTAAAAGCTTTTTTATTACTACGACACTTTCCGCCACGATAGCCTCTGTGGAGAAGAAACGTAATGTTTGACGCATACATAATATACAAGATATAAAATATAGCAGACTATAATAGAAACTTACCATCTCTATTGCTCAACAGCGATACCAACCCATTGAGACACATATCGGTCACTTCTTTGATGTTACTTGCGCATCTGCCGATTGCCTGAATGCTGGCACCGACAAATTCCTTGTCGCTACTAGAAATGTACGTTTGAAACTCTCTGAGTATTACGCTAATGCTAGTTTCGGTCGCCAGGTTCGTCAATATGTCAAGCTTCAAAAGTTTTATGTGAGTGGGATCGGAAGTCCGCACGAAGAACGATTTCAAAAAGGGCTCAAACATTCCCTGTTGTTGAACACAGAATGAGTATGCTAATTATAATATGATAAATATCAATTGAATTACCTAAAAATTAATTTGCATCCTGTTTCGATGCCATACTTACATTACCTTTCTTGTAATTGATATGCTGGCGATACAGTGAAGCACAATACTCTGCACTTCTCTGTGGCATCTCAGTAATCTTATTAGTGCCTTTGCAGCAGTCATGACTTCGCTTCTGGGTGCTGCGTGATGATATAACTGAGCAACTGCCATCACTACAGATGCGTTTCGACTTTGTAACAAAGGTTTCGTGTTCCTCAACAGCAAACGATGATCTGGATCTAACATAAACTTTGGTTTCTTTGTATTGGAAGAATCGGAATCGGAGTCATAAAATGGCCGATTTTCATCTTCTATAATCTACAGATTTTTTTTCAAATTATTATTTGAATTAAATTTATTTACCATGTTACACATTCTCCATAATATACTTACATCTGTGTTTGGATTAACAAATTGTGTTCTAGCGTATCTAGTGAGCATGTTAACAATAACCACTTGGCCCCATTCGTCAACGTCCACTAATAAATTACACAATTTCCTATAATTCTTATGAATAAGATCTATTCTATCTGGGCACACCTCTTCAAAAGCCATCACTGCCGAGCCCACCACAAGAGTAGTTTTGTCAGATAGCAATTTTTCAAGTACGCTTATCAATTCCTCTTTCTGTTCAGGATCCAATGAGTATAACTTAGGAATGGCATGAGCAGCTGTTTTTCGCACATATGGTGACATATCGCTAGCCGAGTCTTTGATGGCCAGCATCACAATAGGCACTATCATGGAAACTCGTATACTAGACAATACCCTTAGAGCGCTTGCTCTTATCAATTGATTAGGATCTTTCAATGCTCTTTGAAATGTTGATATAGACAGAAGTGCCAGATCTTGTTGGTCCTCTGCGTAACGAACTAGGTAAACATATACTAACTTCTTCACTTCGATATTCTTGGATACTACATTTTTTACAACAGCTGGAAACAGTTCCGACGCATCCCTTCCTTTGGCCACCATCTAAAGGAAAAAAAATACATTATTATTTACTGCGATATTATTATAAAATATTACTGCCAATTAGATCCGAAACATGTCATAGCTACCCCAATTATACGTTTCATGGCTTCCAACTTGAGTCCATCTTTGTTACTATCCAACATCTCCTTGAGGTCGTCGTGCCTGAAACGTACGAATACCTTCGTAAAAATACCGTGTTGCGTGTTGTAAACAGAAAGGAAAACACAAATGTGTTTCTATCACGTTCGAACGGATAATAATGAGGATGATCATTCGATATTTATTAACGAAAGCTCGAAAGGAATGATTGCTCGTACGAGCAAGGCTGGATCATGTTTAAGCTAATTACTTCTTGTAATCCGAGTGAAAGAATCCACCGGAGGCGGGATCTGTCGCGAGATCCGCATCGCCCGCACTGGACGGCCTCTCGTTGCTGTAGGAGCCACCATTGTTGGACAACGTATTTGCCGCTGCCGTCAACATTCTCTCGCACTATCTCGCCCGAGGTACGACGAATCCTCTTCCGAATGAAAAAGGAGAACCCAGATATCCGGAGATTATCCGCGCGCCACTCGACACTCGCTTCCAAATTTTTGACAGCCGTCCTTAGCGTGAGGCCATGTTGTTTTCCGCTTCCACATCATAGATTTATAGTCGCGTTGCTCGTATTCCACTACTATTTTTGCACTTAAAACGAGATAGACTTATACGCGGGTATTAGAGAAAGGAAGAACAAGAAGCACGCGAGTGCAAGCCACGCGAACAAAAGCTCGTATTACAACGAAAGTGTAATTGCACCATACTACACTTTCCTAAAGTGGAGCACCGACGACGTAAAGGCGGCATAAAGCAGTCAATTTTAAAAAAGTTCTAACTGTTAAAATTTGATCGATTAATTTCTAATATTAATATAATAAATGGTAAATATGCGGTATAACGTTCTTTCCTCCGATTTTCCTGTAATTTTGTAAATTTGTATTTTCATGCATAAAATATATATATCTGAAAAGAAAATCCTGATTTTTTTTTTGACGTTGATAAGTTAGAAAATGATAATGCAATGATCTTTGGCTGCACACTTATCATATATATTTTTTTTCTACTTTAATTAATAATACAAATTAGTTTTCTTATATTATTTAAATTAATTATAGAAAATAGTTTAATTCAAAATTTTTATCTTTTTCATTCCTTTTATATGAATTGAAGTTCAAACAGGAAATGACTTTGAAATTAGAAAAAAATGAGACTTGAGCGACTTGATTTGCCTTCTCAGAATATATTTTACATTTGAGAATAAAGAAATTTACAAAATACAGAACAATCGGAGGAGAAAGCGTTATACATATTTATCTAACAAATCTAATGTATATATATTATCTATTAATTTAATTTTTTATTTTACATATGATTACACTAAGATATTGTAAAATATATTCTAGTGTTACGCATATACACATATATGCAATAAATAAATAATAATAATAAAATAATTTTCACATGATTATAAATCATGTATTATTTTATTATTTTATTTCTCTAAAAATAAAGGATGAGAAGTGAGTTGATATTAAAGAGAAAAGACAAATCGAGTGATTACATTGCATTAATAATATAAAAATAAAGTTCTTAATGGTTGTATATAATTAATCAGTTAACAATACAATTGGGTTTAAAAAAGATCATTGTAAAATGGTAGCATTTCAGATTTTTTTCTTCAGTTATCAGATATACATGTACCATACATAAATGTCAAGGACCACTTGACGAAAGACTACTTGACGATAGGATCCTTTTCATTAAATCTTTTAGGAAAGTTGATAAGTTTCGCTACTAAATATGTGCCAGGTGGCACCTTGGTCTCCTCTTTCTTCGGCAGTATTACAAGAGCGTTAGCACCTGCGGAACTAATGAACTTGTCATTGATGGCGTTCCCCCTGCCGAAAGCCAGTGCGTGCTCCTCCTCATTGGTCCACTCCAAAAGCGTCCATGCAATTCTGGCACGAGTGTGCTGGGTATACTGATACTTCATCTGCAATGTTATAAAATCACAATGATACACATTGTTACATTCCATTTTCCGCGATAACATTTACGGAGGATAAACTTACCAGACTTTTTATTTCGACATAATTCGATCGGAAATTATAGCAGATTTCATTTACAAAGGGCAGAAGGAATAACTGTGCGGCAATGACAGCAGATGCTGGATTACCCGAGAAACAAAAGAAATATTTTCGTACTCCATCGATTTGGCACGTTGCGAGTGCCGTCGACTTTCCCGGTTTTATATCCACGTTTCCTAAAGGAAGTGCACTTAGTTGTAAAAGAGGCATGCCTATCATCATTTGGTACATCAGTAATTAATAAGAACAAAAGTTAATACCAAAATGTATTGTAGCTTTATAGTCGTCCATCAAAATAGTCTTTAATAAATCTTTGTCGTTGCTCGAGCCTGTTGTCACAAGTACATCTACTTCCTTTAAAGCTTCTCGTATTTTATTCCGTATAGATTGCAAACTGCAAAAATATAAATTATTATTTATTAAATTAACATTAATATAAATTATAGCGTGCACATTGGAAATTATAAATTTTAAACGCCATTACTTGTTGTTCACGATTCCGAAATCTACAGAGTCAAAAACCCTTCTCTTTTAGTAACAACGTTAGAGTTATCCTGTTAATGTCGTACATATGTCCTGGTTTTAAAGATTTTCCAGATTCTTCTAAATTATCTCCGATAGACAACAGGCCAATAGATATGGGCTTAACGACTGGAATCATTTGGCAGCCCGAAGCTGCCAAGAGTCCCATCTCCAGTGGACTAATACGCGTGTTTTCAAATGCAACGATAGTTCCTTTCGGTAAATCGTAACCGATAGGTCTTTGAAATAAATAATAAACAGAGAGATAAATTAACAGAGAAAGAGAGAGAGAGAGAGAGAGAGATAATTTGATGAAGAGATAAAATCTATATTATTTCATCTTCCATATTGAAAATATTGTAAATTTCATAATCATACTTGATGTTTTCTCCGTCTTTTGGTTCAATCATTATCTTGATATATAAATCGTCATTTTCGTTACTGTTTACTAATATTTTCATCAGCCGTGTATCCTGTTCCTGTACAACCGCAGTTGCTGCTGCAATCGAAACGGAAATGGCAGTTAATTCTTTCCTTGTCGTATCAAGTAATCAGTAATTTAAATATGTTTACCATCGGGAATGGGCTCTCCTTTGTTCACCCAGACACATGTTCCTGGTTTAAGCGACAACGAGGGAAACTGAAAAAAGTTTTGTCTTAATAATTTCAACATCGTTGATATGAGTCTACGATTAGAACTTACTACATTTTTCACGTTCAACACTCTTCTTAAGCCCTTCCCATCAGTTATCAAAACTGCATATCCAGATTTAGTAGCGGATTTAAATGACGGCACGTCGTATCGGGAGATTATCTTTTGGCACAATATTCTGCCACAGGCATCACTCAACTTCACTACTTCACACTCTCTTCCTATGTAGTGTAAAGCTTCATTTACTACCTTACGCATCAGTAGTATCGCTTCTTCAAAGGGAACCAAAGGAAATGATTTTTTATAGCATTTGACTGCGCTCTGTAAAAAGATTTAATTGCACAATAATTTAAATACAATAATTTCATAAAATCTTTGTTTTATTATTAATATGAAAAACTATTTTAAATAACTTGCAGAAGGTGATATATCCAACGGAGGAGGATATTTCCTGCGACGCTTCACGGCAATTTCGTCATTCGTCTGCATAAGGAGATTTAAAGGCACATTATAATTTTGTAAGGTTGTAGATTACATATTACTATTATTTTTTAATAAAATCTTACTTGCGTCATAGAATTATCACCAGAAGTAGATGAAACGTCACATGGAGATACGTTTTCATTCGTGATCGTACGTGTCAAATGTATCGTATGCAGTATCGCATTCACAATCGCTTCAAAGTGCTGTTTTACATTTTCGATTGAATTAGACAAATCGACGATTATTACTTGATTTCGTAATCCGCACTTAACTCTAAAAATAAATTAATTGTAAGAGTCGTAAAATTTTAAAAACTTCAAAGCGCAAGTAAAAATGAAAGTTTATACTTATGATCCATAATTTTGTCCAGTTTCGATTCTAAATTTAACAGCGACATCGTTATTCTTTGTTTCTGTAAACGTCCGTTAATATTTTTAAAATTTACGATTGTCTCGATTGCTATAGCTACAAATAGTTTCTCATGGGATTCAACGTCACCAATAATGAGAATAGCGTCATTTTTATTCTCGATGCACGCAGAGATTAATTTTTCCTATATTACATAATAAATAAAAAACAAATTTAACGACCAATATCAACGAAAAGAGAGATTTTTAAAATATTTATATAGTTACGATTATATCAGTTCTTAAGTTTGTTTTTGTCACGTCAGTTATTTGTACATCAAGCTTAGTTGCAAGCATGTCTTGGATATTTTCACTTTTGCTTAAGTTATTTACGTTCCGTGTATCTACTGAATATAAGATATAATTATTAAAATTTTTTGAATTTTGATAAGAAAATTAAGTCTATGCATCAAATGAAGATTATGAAGTAAAACGGAAATAAAAATTATTTCCGTTTATGCACTACAAAGAATCAAATCAAATTGATGATCAAAGAAATTGTCGCAAAAAGTTACATTTCTATTTTTATTTATTATAATTTCTTACTTAGGGAAATAACTTTTATTTAAGGATGTGTATAATTGTCAAAAATGATATAATACATATGAAAAATATACATACTTAATAATATTTCCAATTTTATTGACATTTTAACTTCTTTTAACTTAATATCGTATGATTCTATTCACTTGCTGTATGCTAATGTTTAACCGTAGAAAACTTTACTGATTCGTATATATGTTTTGCTCCAATTACCACGTGTGTTAAACTTTGCATTGGTTATCTTTGGAACTAACTATCGAAATAGTTCACAGAAAACTTTTATAATAATAAGTTGTTTACATATTTTCGATTTTCTTAATATTGATATTGTAAACGGACAATGCTAATTATGTTTTGAGTATACTGCGTATTTCTTCGTTTACGATTCGAATAACAAATTCTACCGCGAAACAGATCTTGCAAATTTGTCATTTAAATTTTTACAAATGGGGATAGAGGGACAAATGAGGAATGTTCGAATAAGCTTATTATCTATTTTTCACAACTAGAAAAATAATAAAAAAAATATGAAGAAACAATAAGTATTTATAAAAATAAGCACTCAAGATCTTGCTCGACCTATGTGTCTCTCTCTTTATGGGATTCTCTTTCTGGTTTCTCTTTATTGTCTATTAACGATTAAACTGGCTACATAACGATTAAAATGGGATTAAAATCTAGTTTATATATGTATGACATTTGATTGGAAGAAAATTTTTATTCTTTTAAAAAAAGTAGATTTTAAATTATTTATCAGTAAAAAATTGTTCCTATACATCAGCATTTCATCAGACGATTAAAAAAATACTTATACGTTAATTAAA